TCCTTCGACACCTCCTCACATGCCCTGGCTTTCCATCCTGTCTCCACTGGGCTCCCTCCTCTCATGGCTCTTGTATTTGTCAGGATCCCTCTATAAATAAGGCAGTCAGAATGGGACACACGTTGTCCCTCATGTTCTGACCCAAATTTACAAACTGGGGAAGCAATGGCTAACATCGCAACAGAAATCAGTAGCTGAGCCAGAAGTGGGATCCAGATGTTCCGGTCCCCCATCCGTCACACAGTACCTTACTAACATTAGCTGGTCGTGGATTAGGAACCCAGACCCAGTTAACTTCCCACCTGTACACTCAGCCCCATGCACTGACTCCTCACCTCTTGGCTGACTCCCAAACCCTCACCTCGGTGTGGGCAAGGGCAGAGCTGCAAGTAAGGCCAGCAGCTGGTCCTGCCACCAATTAGGGAGACAGCTGGTACCAGGGAAGTGGGGGGCGGGGGGACCACAGATTAGAAAGAAAGTGCCTCCTTGGCACACCGATTCATTTAACAACACGTATCTATTGAGAACCTAGCTTCCTGGAGCTTGTATTTTGGCAGGGAAGGACACAGTAAGGATATATATTATAAAGCAGATTAAAAGAGGACCAGTGCTACAGGAAAGGAAATAATAGAATAGGGTAAAAAGTACTGGGACATGGTGGGCAGATTAGTTTTAAGCAGGGTGGTCACAAGAGGCCTAACTGAAGGAGGCTTTAGACCCAGACTGGAAGGACGCGAGGGAGCTAGGGGAAAGGGCATTTTAGACATAGGGACGGGACACAAGGTTGCTTATTTCTGACATTATAAAAACTACACTGTAGGATGCTGCCCTAGCTTGTGAAGAACTGGAAACGAATTTACAAATTGCACTTCCATTAAAATCTCTATTTCCAGGGCCAGTTGGTCTCAGCCTCTGTATTCTCATAGAGCAGCTCTGCCCTTTGAAATGAACCCACTGCGATTGAGATCTGTTGCCTGCTTCTCTTTTCTGGGAGCAGGCAGCTACCTTCCTAAGTAATATTTACTAGCAACCACGGCAAAGCAAAAATAAAAGTCAATGAATTAGTATGTCTGGGGCACCTGGTGTATTGAGTCCTTCATCTCCCCTCCCCCTTTCCTTAAGGATATCATATAGTGGGCACACCTTTCTTTGGCCTTCAAAGATTTTCATTACCTTTTCTGATGTTCAGATGTGGGTCAAGTCTAGCCATCAAACAGAGAAGCAAACTGCCAAGAGAGGAAGTAACGAGCCACTCACATAAGGTATGCACTAATAAAAATTTAATATCATAAAACAAATCAGAAAACAGCAAAAAAAAAATTTTTTTTTAACCATTCACAATTAACGTGGAAAGAGACAAAATTATAAGGCAGCCATCCATGGAATGATTTCATGTTTACAAAGAATCCAGAAAAGGGGACATTTAAAATCACTCTTCAGGCTACTGAACCAGGGGAAATGCAGTTTTATCCCATGAGACTTCCAACTTGCTAGAAGATGCTATCAGAAAAAAGACCAAAGCCAAGTTCCTTGTGTTTAGGCTGAGCATATCTAGAGAATTCCCAATGGTTGTCTCCTTTCCTACGAGTCACAAATTTCCCTCAAGTCTCCTGAGGCGATCGATCTAGATGTCTCAGCTACAAAGGGAGCTACATCGTTGGCTTTAAGTTCATGGCATCTCCCAACAGTGCTCTCGGGATCATTCTGTTTTGACCAGAAATCTTCGACGGTTCCCCTGTAGATCACTTTGCACTGCAGTGGTTTTAGAAGAATCTGGTCATTATTCTCAATCTCCCAAGGGGCCCAGGAGCCATGTAGGCAAGAACATTCTCTGGGGGCTTGTGCTGTTGGCAGACAGCTCCCGTGTTTAGTACCTGGCTACCATGTGTCTGAGGGGCATAATATACTCCGATGTGGGGGTGTCCTCCTAGCTCTAATCCTCCAACAAGAGAAACACCAGGAAGTGACCCTTAGAAGTAGGCTGGTAAGAAACACACTTACATGGTCTCCTCTTTACAAAGAACTGACCCCTCCAAATGACCACCTCTCTCCGTTTTCTAATAATTCATTATACAGGAACACGGCTGACTCGGCTGTTTTGAATAAGGAAATAAAAAGGTAATGGGGGGAAGAGAGAACACAGAGCCTCTGCAGGTGGTACCATTTCCAACTCGCTACACTCTGGTGCAGGAAAGCCACCAGACCTGGAACTTCGCCACTTCGGGGACATGGGGACTGATATGCAATTCACTGGGAAACAAGTGAGGGGAATGGATCAGTAGTGTTTTTCAATTTAATTTGCCATTTAAGAGTGCATCTGGAATCTGAATAAATTCATCCCTACCAAGGAAATGGAGTCAAATTGCAATTAAGATTAGCTTTGGTTATGAGGAAGGAAGGACCATGCTTTTCATCAACTGCATCTCTCTGGTAGCCAATAATTCCATCTGTAATCATGGCAGCAGCTTAAGTATTGCCAATGTTTTCAAATGTGTGAGAGCGTTAAGGCATCTACATCTAAAGCGGGAGGCAGTTTTAAACAAGAGGAAAACAGAACTGAAATGTGCCAGTAAGCAACCACTGCTGTGGCCTCTTCTGGGACACTGCCCACCACGAGCAAGTTCTTCCCCCGGTGAAGAAGGCCTCTGCCATGCTGCTTGGTCCCCTGCTGCCTGAAGATGCATTTGAGCCCTGTAAGATTAGTATGGCTATTTCTGCATGCTGACCAGGAGACACAGGAGTAGTTCCCGAGGCAGCAGCTTTAAAATCTGGGGAGGCCCATAGCTTCTGAGAGCTGATAGGCCTTGAAAGGTTTGCTTGTTAATGTGAGGTCCAGAGGGGAAGGCAAATTTGGAAGTCTGATGGTTCGATCCTTGCCAGAGTTCAAGGCCCCACCTACCCAGCAAGCTATTCTAGCCACACTTTTAGTGATGGCAGGGCATTGCTGCAAGAGGCTTTGGCCAGCAGAACAAATTTCTCATCATTTCTCACACAACAGTATGGCAGAGAGTGCTGCCATCCAAACCAGGCCAGACACTAAAATGTACTATTTATTTAACAAAGTAAATGTCCAGGGAGAATCAAGGCAACCATGACATCTTGAAGGACCACATGAAGCCCCAACACTCTTCATAAGTCAGAGCTGCTATCAGGAAAAGTCACTCAGACTTTCCACGCTGTACCTTCTGCTGGTTTTAAGCGCGTATGCAATGGCTGCAGCCACTATACGAAACCGCCTCCTATTTATGCTACTTTGGTCTACAGCCAGCAGGGGGCTCTCGAGGTCTATTTCCATAGCTGCTGACCCAGTGACAAATCTAGGACGGAAATAAAGAAATTACAGGCATGCTGGCATATATGTCATATAAAACATTTTACGGACTCCTAAACCCACTGCCCTGAAGAAAACGGTCTTGGTTCCCTCTTTCTATAATGTGTTTTTGAAATGGTACAGAAAATCAAAATAAATTAATAACACAGTATTATACACTGGGTCGATAACACAAAGTTTTACAGGGACTTTGGCAAACACGGAAAAATCATCCTAGTTTGTTAAACGCTTTTACTATCTCAATTGTTTAAATTACCAGAATATTAGTGACTGCATCATCTCACGTATGAGGAAGTGACATTTTAAGGGCTTAGCAGAGTTGCATTTGACACAAAAGTGACTTCATTGAAGGGAATAAAGTAAAGAGACAATGTCATCTTCATCATCACCGTTCAAGAAGTGGTTGTCCTGATGAGAGTTCAATTCACACAAATCCTAACGTCGCTGTCAGCAGTGAGCAGCACATTAGAGGGAGGGGGTGCTGGAGAGGAAAGTCAGGAGGAAAGCACGGAAAAGATGAAGAGACAAGAGACAAGAGACATGATTTCAATAAGCTTTAAATCAAGAGGCAAACACTTCCCGCTTGTGATACATCGTGACCATCTTCATTGCTGCAGGTGCTTATGTGACGCTGACCTAGCACTTCCCACGGGACACCGAGTATTCTGCCGGAGGGACTGCCGGTCTGCTAAGATAAATACTTAAAAAGAAAAAAAAAAAAAAGGGACAACATAGGTTTTGGTAATCTCCATTTTAAAAAGATTACTACAAAGATGTCAGTCACTATCCAAATTCACTTAAAATTAATACCCCTCAATTTCAAAAGGTACTTTGGGATCTGACTGCTCTTGAAGGAATGGCTGGGGGGAGGCCTGAACCTACCAGAACTTGGCTCCTCTGTATGAATGCATTGTAGGCAGGTACGCTGCAAAAGAGAACTTAAAAAGAAATACTAGTCACCTCCTCCGATGCTAGTCCATCTCTGTGGCTCCATTTGATGGAAGGGCGGGCCCTCTTTAAAGAGGCAGATGTGAAAGGAGGTGTTAAGTCTCTCCAGACACCCCCTGTTCAATGGACAGCTCTCGAGTAAGAAGTCAGCTTTTAATGTGTCTTGCCGTCATTTTCCTGACTCTTGCCCCAGGTAGATGACAATTCTCTTTAGCATCTAAGACAGTGGACATTATGACCTTGATCAAGGCATGTGGCAGAGATGCTAAAGCACCAGTCTTACACGGTGAGAACCATGTTAAAGATCAATGGATAAAGTAAGCGGCGGAGCCTCTAAACTAACAAAGAGATTTAGCTTAATTACAGAACACTGTACTTTCATAATTACTATTTCATCGTGAGTATGAAGTTCTCCACTTTTCCTTAAAATGAAATTCCATCTTCCCTGAGAATAGGGGTTAAGAGAAACATCAAAACTCAAAACGCCAAGGGCCCTTTAAAAAACAACACAACGGAATGTCCACATCCAGTCGCGGTGTGTCGTTTCTCGTCTAAAAGCTTTCCATGACTCCAGGTTTTAATCTCACCTCCCTCCGGACTCTAGGAACACAGGTGGAGATGGGCAAGGTGAGACAAGACACTGAGGAAGTGAGCAGCTGTCACGCGCTGGCTGTTCTCGCCGGATGCTGGACAGCCACGGACTGAGGCTGGAACCTGACGTTTAATGCTGGTGTCCTACTGACAGGATGAGTGGGATGAGGCAACCCAGAACCAGGGCTGCCACCTCCAGGCGGCTGAGGCCCCTCCCGCCAGTGGGGTCGGGTTTGTGACTGTGCCCCATTCCGCCCACCTCCGGGAGGACATGAACTGTGGCAACATAAAGAAATGTCCCGGCAGAGAAAAGCATGGCCACTCCAGTGGCATTGACCTCTGAAAGGGCTTCTTTACTGCTCTGTGAATTGAGAGAAACAGAGAGAGACAGACAGAGAGAGAGAGAGAGAGAGAGAGAGAGAGGAGAAGAAGGAGAAGAACAATTAAAATTCAGGGTCAGGAAGAAGTTCCAATTAAAAAAACACTCAGCATTCACAACTGGTGCACTATGGGACACTGGGGACATCTTGAGATCAGAGCAATCTTGTGATTGATGAGAAGCTTCCAAATAAGGGCTTAAGACTATTGATACTGTACACAATTGTTTCTTCAAGCAAACATCAAGTCTGGATGAACAGGTCTGGCACGTATTATTCTTACAATGGAATCAACGGCATTATTAATGCAGATGTTAAATTTCGTACATTCACTCATTTATTCTACTAATAGTTAACAAACATCCCCTATACACCAGGCTCCAGGCCAGCTGTTGAGATACAGTGGTAATCAACATCCAGCACCTGCCCTCAGAGGCTAGAAACATAAGCTAATCTTGACACAATTAATTTCAACTTTTTCTATTAAAAAAGTGGACCCATGGACTACAACAATTAAAAATTTAAGAAAGGAGCACGCCATAATGTAACATGTAACCCCAAGCCTCCAGAATTACACCTTTCTTTCTAAAGTTCTAAAGACTTTGATCGACGATCAATGAAGTGATATACAGGGTAATACTTAAAAGGAACTATATACTGACTGAAAGAAGAAAAGGCTCTTCAAACGATCAGAGAGGGTTTTTATGACACCTCATTTGTTAGCAATCCAGATCAACAAACTTGATTAACATGAACTTAACCATGTTTTGACCACCTCGTTTCTCATATGTTCCTTTTAATATAGTTTTGTTGGGGGGTGCCTGGGTGGCTCAGTCAGTTGAGCGTCCGGCTTTGGCTCAGGTCATGATCTTGCAGTCGGTGAGTTCGAGCCCATGTCAGGCTCTGTGCCGACAGCTCCAAAGCTGCTGTGGAGCCTGCTTCGGATTCTGTGTCTCCCTCTCTGTCTGCCCCTCCCCCACTCCTGCTCTCGCTCTCTCTCTGTCAACAATAAATAAACATTAAAAAAGAATTTAATATAAGTTTTGCAGTATCAGCTATGAACTGAGTGACACTCAGAAGAGTCAGTGACCTTCAGACAGAGTATGGGAAAGCAGTTCCATGAACGAGCCCTAAGTCGGTCTGGTGCTAAGATTTTCCTCCTGTCACCTGCCAGCTGACACTGAAATACAACAGGTCAATGAGACCCGCAGCCCCAGTGGACAGAACTGGAAGACAGGGAAAGGTCCAACTTGAACAGCACGGGAAGGATACCCAGGCTCAGAACTGACAAGCGACAGACACGTTACTTCAAGTCTGACGTTATGTTCAGCGCAATGATAAAGAACTGGATATTTAGTATGCGGTGATATGAGAATACAGACATCTCTGCTCATCCCCTATTCTCCTCAAAGCTGCCATTCGCTTGTCCCTCACTCTTCACGTGCCTGCTTAAACATTAAATATGTACCGTGGCTTATTATACATCTGTCAAATAAAATTAGTGGGTCTGGTTAGGCTTAAGTTATGTTATTTGAAAGATCACGTATATGTGCAAATGTTTTCGGAATTGAAGGGGAAGACATTTTCAAATTAAATGAACAGGAAGATGTAACTTTATGAAGGGAATGCCTTGGAATTGAGATGTTTACCTTGTACTGGTTTTTACTCGTAATTTCATTTTTCTTTATCATTTTATTTTTGAGACAGAGAGCGAGCAGGGGAGGGGCAGAGAGAAGGGGAGAGAGAGAGAATCCCAAGCAGGCTCCGCATGGTTAGCGAGGAGTCTGATCTGGGGCTTGAACTCACTAACCGTGAGATCGTGACCTGAGCCGAAGTTGGATGCTTAACCAACTGAGCCACCCAGGAGCCCCAATTTCATTTTTAGTTTGAGAGAGTAACTTAACTGAGAAACTCAACATAAAAGACCCTAGATTCTGGTAGATCACAAAAAAATTGGATACTTGTCTAGATAAACTAGGAACGAATAAGACGTACCTTACTTAGTCCTAAGTATGTCACCATGGCCATAACTGGTGCTGCAAGCGCAAACACCAGTAAATGTTTTCTGATTCGATTCCGTTCTAGGCCAGCGTGCATTAAGAAGGAAACCAGCCCAAAAGCAGCTGGTGCCTGGAAAAAAAAAATTAGTCTTAAATACTCTTAAAGTATGGATTGCTTCTATATTATGAAGTATATGTCATTGGACTGAATTCTCACCGAAAAAAAGAGGCATGGTACCAAGACTGAGCTCTGCCTTTTAGGAACTAATGTTCTAAGCTAAGAAAATATCCTATGCGTGTGTGTGTGTGTGTGTGTGTGTGTGTGTGTGTGTGTTTTAGACAGTAGGAAGAGAGAAATAGTCAAGAAAAGATTATAAAAAAACAAGAATATTTACCAACAAAAATTATTATAAAATACAGAAATCTGTAGAGAATTTAATAATTTGTGTATAGGACCATAAAAAAATCCCTTCCATCTAGTCAACTGTCTCAAACCAAGGGCAATTATGAAAATAGCTAAAAATATTTCCCCATTCCAGGAAAATGTTAATGACCAAAGAGAAATTTCAATTGTGAATATATTCAATATCAAATCTTTCACGAGGATTCCCCTTACCTTATGTAGCATTATTGCCACAAACACAATCAATTGGACGCTAGTCTGGGAAGTAGAGGCTGCTGCTCCTAAGGCAACACCGTCGGCTAAATTTGGAAAAAACGAAACATAAAACATTATAAATACAACAACAGCAGCATCTATACTAGTGTCCTAGTCTTATATGAGTTTTAGAGTCAGGTAGACCTGCATTTGATTCTGGGAAGGTTCTTTAACCTTTCTCAACCTTAGTCTTCTCATCTCTAAAATGGGTTCAGTGAAGTATGTGTTCTTTGGGTTTTCATGAGGGTTAAATGAGATAACATTTGTAAGCTGCTTAGCACCTGGCCCCAAATATTCAATGTATCAGCTGTTATTAGAAAAGTATGATGCCAGAAAGTATATAAAGTATGTAAGTATATAAAGTCTATATAAAGTATTATAAGGTATAATCCACTGATTAATCAAACTGTAATAGCAGAAATAGCAAAGATTATAAAGAAAGCAACTCTGCATCTTGTAGATGAAAAAACACAACATAAGAACACTACAACTTTACAGAGATGATTTATACGTCAAAAGTAAACACTGGCTGGCTGGCTGGCTAAAGTTTTGTCAGATAGGCATGTTCTGTTAGAAAGGTCCAAGTAATAGCATGCCACATTTCACATGCCTTTGTCCTTCCCAGAATCCCACTACTGGGACTGGTCTTTGGTGATCATTCTAAGGCATGCCCAATTAGCAATGCTGAGCCTTCTGCATTCTACGGCCCACCTCTGCCTCAACTGGCACTTTAGGTATACACTGAGCAACAGGGCTATTCAGTATAAAAGTGTCAAAACTCTTTTCCAGATGAGGTTCTAGGGCAGAGGTCAGCAAATTTTTTTCTTCAAGGGCCAACGAGGAAATATTTCAGGTTTTGCAAGCCATTTGCTCTCTTGCAGCACTCTGCCATTACCGTGCGAAGAGCCACAGGTAAGATGTAAACAAGTGGGCATGGTTGTGTTCCCAAAAAGACTATTTACAGGCACTAAACTTTAAATTTCATGTAATTTTCAGGTGCCACAAAATATTTTCAACCATTAAACAATATAAAAACCATTCTTAGCTCGCAAAACCCTGACACTGAGTACGCCAGGGTTTATGCTTGGGTTGGAGAACTTCATCACGAAACCCTCTCCCTGAAGGCCAGCCCAAGAGCTTTCATGCTGGTGGTCCCTGGGATGTAAACACTAAACTCCCCATAGTGCACCAGAAGAGAAAGGGCTCTCTTTGCAGTCCCGCCCTACCTGCAGCATGGACGACCAGACCCAGCGTGGTGGTGATTTTGGAATTGCTGGGCCTTGCTGTTTCTGGATCTGAAGTAAAAATAAGCGAGTCAGTCATTAAGCAATGTGAAACAGAAACTGTTAGAACACTGTCCTGGAGGTGGAAGAATTCTTTCAAAGCTCTTAAAGTAGATTCTGTTTTCCTCCTGACTGTCTTTCTTTACGACTGGCTTCAAACACTTAGAAGTTTCTCCTGTCCTGAAAGAAGTGGGCAGGAGGGAACCCTTCATCTGCCCCAGCCTTCCCTGAACAGGCAATACGTAAGCCCCAACTGCCTCAGCTGCCTTGCACCCTTGAGCGCTCTGGCTCTCCCTGGAAAGTGCTCTGTGGTCTCTCCTCACTTCTCTCCAGACCAACTGAATTGTCACTGCCTACCTGCTCCTCTCCCCGGCCTCCTGAAACTTTAGCTTTATTCCAAGACCAAAATGTCTATCATGCTTGCCCTTCTCCTCTTAATCGCCATCATCCTAAACCTAAACTTTCATCAACTTGAACCTGACTTAGCAACAGGCTCCCAGCTGGTCTCCCCTAGCTCTCATTTCTCCCTCGTCTGATTCATCTTACACATCCTTGTCGGAATGCTCATCTCTGAATCACCACCCTTCTGATGTGCCAGTTAACTAGCTAAGAATCTGCTGCTTATCAAACTCAGTCCAAACTGCTCCATTCATAGGTTCTTAAGCTCTTTATCAACTGGTGTCATCTTATTTCTCACTATTCAGTCCAGTTAAACCAGCTTCTTTAACACCTTCTAACAAAACATTCTCATTCTCCCTCAAATCTCTTGTCTTTAATTCTTGGCATGTGCATAACTTCTCAGCTCCTCAGTCCAAAACTTAGCCATTGTTCAAAGTCAATTCTAGGACTACTTCCCTTAAGAAAGAATTAAAGATCAATTCCAGCTCAAAAGGCTCCCCTTGCCTAGAAACCAAGAGCTCTAAGTGCACATACTACTTCAGCTTCTTCTATATCACCACCTGAGATACGTAAAACTGTTTTCACTCAGATAGGTCTGATGTCCCCAGACTGACTGTAAACTGCACAGAAGTGAATTTTCCACTTCTCTCCATTCCCTTTTCACATGTCTTACAGAATGTCGCACAGCAATGGAAACCCAATAGCTGCTTAATAAATCCTTATTAGAGAGGGGAGAAAAACATTTCTCTGTATGAATGTTACTGCTATAATAGGAAATATACCAGCAAGTCAATAATGTCCAAACAATGTAAAGTTAAAGATGAGGACATCAAAATGCCAGATGAAATGACAGATGGACATTGGTCAAATAAATTCCAAGGGATTTAATCTTCTGGGGGAACCCAGCACATAGGAAGAATGGTTTACAGTGGGAAAAAACACATACAAGTAAAGTAACATGTTATCTTTTTACTAAAAATAAAATTATCTTCTAATTAAAATACTACAAGGAAGGGAAGCTAAAGCCCCAGTTGGTCTGAGACAACAAATATTTCAGTATCGCCCCAAAATGTGAAGAATATCATATTATACTGTGTGACAAGTTTGCTTTGACTTTTCTAGTTATAAATAGCATCTTAAATAAAAATTAGAGGCTTTACAATTAAAACGCAGTTTTTATAAATCTATAGGAAAAGACTGCTTTAGCATAAATTTAATAAATGAATTTTTACTGAGATTTAACAATAGATAAAACCCTGCAGATAATTGGTAAAACCAGATTACTAGATACATGAAAGCCAGCAAAAACAGTGACTTCAAAGATAAAACAGGAGGAAGAATAAAGGAACACATGCTATTTTTAATTCTTTGTATAGTATCATAGGGCACTAGTGGGCCTTTAAGTGCATTTAAAATCGAAACTGACAAGAATCGCAAAAATGTCATCGAGGCCACTGTGGGCAACTATGTAACGTAGATAGAATCAGATCCCATCCAACCAGAGGGTGTTTCTCATTTGCTATTTGGTAAAAAAGCACACAAATAAAAGCATTTACTTCTAAATCAGCTTCCCAATACATGTAAGACCATTAAAAAAAAAGTGCATGGAAAAATACTGAAAAGAAACAGTAAATGCAAGATTAACAAACGAAACAAAAAATAGCCTTGGACTAAAAAGGCTAAATTCAATTCCATGAATTTTGAAAAAAAACCTTTTATTTGGAAATAATTTCAAATCTTCAGAAAGTTCTGACAATGTTAAAAAAAAAACACTCACACACTCCTTTCTCAGAACGACCTACTGTCTAACACTTTGCCCCATTTGCTTCATTATTTGTGTTCATGTTCTTTTTCTATCCATACTACACACACACACACACACACACACACACACACACTTGTTTTCTGTACCATTTCAAAGTAAGTTGCATACATCATAACTCTTTATCCCTAGATATTTCAAAGTATATTTCCTTAAGAGGAAGGACATTTTCTCATATAATCACAGCACAGTTATCAACTTCAGTAAATCTAATATTGATACTTTTTTCTAATCTCTCTTGCATATTCTAATTTGTTAGCTGTCCAGGAAGGTCTTTCAGAGCATTTTTCCCTCCCAGGAAGGATCCAGTCTGGGATCATATATGCACTTACTTGTTTCTCTGTAGTTCCCTTTAATCTGAACCATTTTCTCTGCCTTTGACTTTTGCGACATTGGTATCTTTGAAGAATACACGTCCCTTCCCTCAGCCTTTCTTGTTTTTTAACAGACTGATCCTTCCTTTTTGGGTTTGTCTGATGTGTCCTTAGATTATGCATTCTGAATACAGGCTGAATATGCACGCTGAATACTCTACAGATGCTGCCTCTCAGGATGTCACATCTAGACGCACAGAATGTACATCTGCTGCTTACTAGTGGAGTGAATTTTGGATTATATCCTGGACACTGTGAACGTTATCTTGTGGACACTCTGAATTCTATTATATTCCTCCAAAAAGCGTTGCTTTTGTGTTGTGCTTTAAGTAACTTGGTTTAGCTCAAACTGCAAAGTCTGTCTTCTGGGCAGCTGCTCAAATCCTGGTTTAGTTCTCTCATCTTTACCTGAGTCTGCCCACAAAAGAATGGTTCAGGGCCTTGCCAGACTTGGGTAGAATTTATACATAAAATGTGGGGTTGTACCTTCCAGTGGCTGTAGTTACCCTGAACTCTGTCCTCTGGTTCCTTAGGCCTGAGAGACTGAGTTTTCTATCAGTTTTAGCTACCTCACTGGGCACGGACTGCTTAAAAGCAGTACAAATAGGAACTCACCCTGTTCCACGGGTTGACTCCCCTCCAGAATTTTCCTGCTTTGGGTCAGTCTCCAGTGTCTTTAGGTATTTTTAAAAAATATATGCCCAGAGTTTATAATTATCTGTAAGGAGGCTGGTCTGATGGGAACTTATTTGCCCACATTGAAAACAGATGCCAGTGACATTAGTTTTAATCATCTGGTCAAGGTATTATTGGATTTCTTCGTTTGGTTACTTCTTTTTCCTTTGCAACTAATAAGCAAATCAAAATTCATCTCCTAGATGCAATATTCATTGGTGATTCTGGCCTGAGCCAGTTTCTACTATGAGGATTGCAAAAATGATTTTCTAATGCCAGCACCCTTTCCACATTTACAAGTTGGCCTTTAGCAACCTACTGTAAACAAGCATCTTCCCTTTTCCTTCTCTCTCTCTCATGTGGATGTGCTCACTGATCCTCATTTTTTCAATGGTTTATACTTCGTTACTATTCTTAATTATATTGGAGCTCAAATTGTCCTATATCTGGCCAGTGGGAGCCCCTTCAAGCTGGCTCTATATTCTGTGACAAATTTCCATTTTCTTCCTTCCTATTTTTTTTTATTTTTATTTTTTTATGAGCACTAGATGTTCCAAGCTCATTTTGTACTTACCCTGCCCCTGTCCTGGAATCAGCCATTTCTCTGAAGAGCCCTGGTATGCTCATTGCTAGTGAGGTGTCTTTACTTCTAGGCCCTCTCTGCAGACAGAGCTAAGACATACATACATGTATACATAAACACACACGTATATATGTACACATATACACACATATACACATATACATTTTAGAAATCATGAGTCCAATAGCTCCAATTCCAGTCCATCCCTACAGAGGTTCTTCCTGGCCTTCCCCCATTTCAGATTTGTATGTCCCCTCTTCCACAGTGAGAGCTCTGGTTCCACCAACATCAACACACTTACTCATTTGCTCAATCCTATAATACACCTAAAATAGTTTCAGAATTGTTTTCACCTATGCCATTACAAAAAGCAAAGCCTAATAAAGACTTCAGTAATTGTTTAATGCTTCTTCCCCCAACTCCATCCGAAACTAAAAATATATAGTCAAACATTACATTCATAAGTCACTTAAATTCGTTTTTTTTTTTAAACCCCTTCAGTGTGATTGTTATTCATCCGAATTACAGTTCATCTGCTTCAGTTCGCTTCCCCTATCCTTGTTGATTTCATTTTATTTTTTGAATATAGGAAATATCAACATGTTTCCAAAAGTCAAAGCTATATTAAACAGGCCTGCCCAGGGAAGTGTCATGCCCTCCTGAAACTCTGCTACCCTATCCTACCCTGCACCCACTTCTTACACGTAACTAACCGTTGTCTAACTGGTCTTGTTTTATTCCCCCTTCTTTCTTACACAAAATGTAGTATATGATGGAAACTAATTTACATTTCAGCTTTTTCCCCCCACTTAACAGTATCTCCTAGAAATCTCTCCCTATCAATTCACAGAGATCTGATTCCTCACTCTCTTTCACAGTTACCTAGAACTCCATTATATGCACACATCACACTTCATTCAACCAATTTCCGTGACTGGACATTTAAGTGGTATTACAGTGGTAAATAATGTTGTACTAAATAATCTTGTGCATGTGTATTTTCATAGTGGAGCTATATTATCAGGAGCAATTCCTACAAATAGGACTTTGGGGTTGAAGGGTAAAATACAAGTGCAGTTTTGTTACATATTGCCAAGCTCTCCTCTGCAGGGACTGTACAATTTTGCATTCCCACAGCAATAGATGAGAGTGTGTTTCACCGGAGCTCTGATAACAGAGTGTATTGTCAAGCTGTTGAAGTTTTGCCTGACAGGTAAGAAATGACATCTCGGCAGAGTTTTTGATTTGCATTCTTAAGTGAAATTGAACATCTTTTCATATATTTAAGGACCATTTTAATAACTTTTTATGAACTATCTGTTCATGTCTTTTGCCTGCTTTTCCACTGATTTTTTTTGTAGGTCAAGGATTCTTAACCTGGGGCCCACATAGAAGAACACAGGTAGAATGTAGGGGATGCCTGTGACCTTAACGTGGAAAAAACCTCGCATTTTAATTTTTACTAACCTCTAACTGAAATCTATTATTTCCTTTAATTGTGAACATAGACAATATGCTACAAGATCAGCACTACCTATACTCTATTGCCAATAGTAATCAGATAATTTCATATGATTTTACAGTTGTAAATATCTTCATATTCTTGCTTTCACTCATCACTATTTTAAATTTAAGGGCTTATAATGCCTCCACATTGCATGATTACAGTCTTCTTGTCTGTAGATGCTCATGTGGCAAAGCTGGGCCACTCTCCGGTAACTCTTCACCTACAGTCATTCAGGCAACTAAACAGCAAAAGCCATGGGATCTCTCACTGGGGACCAAGATATCTATGCTGCTCTCCAACAGTTCCTATCTGCAAAGTTCTCTGTCAGTGTATTTGAAAAGAGATATTTATAAATCCCTATATCACCAAACCCCAAGAGTTTGATGCAACTCTTCCAAATTTATTTTTGTCATGGATCAGAATTTTTTTTTATTTAATACAAACCATATCAAAGATGCTGACCTAGCCAAAGATGAATTCATTGATCTTAAGGCAAAAAAGTTACTTGGCTGGCTTGTTGGTAGAGCATGTGATTCTTGATCTTGGGGACGTGAGTTCGAGCTCCATGCTGGGGGTAGAGTTTACTTTAAAAAATAAATTAAAAAATTATTTTAAAAATTTCTTAAAAAAGTTACTGTATCTGGAGTTAAATTTAAAGTCTTAGAGAACTGTAGTTGAGAGAAGTTTAGCTTTCTTTGGAAAGCAAGCTATGAATGTGTTTAAGTATATCTGTAAGAAAATATCTTTGTGAATCAGGGTTCTCTATACTAGTAACCATTAAAACAGAAAACCAAATCAACTGAATGTTCAACATGACACTCTGTTGCCTTGTTAAAGCCCATCTCACAATTTAAGATTTTTAGCGAGCTAAGCAACAAAAGCTGTCATGCTGATGTCTTAAAAAATAAAATTTAACTCCACCTTGCATATGATTTAAATATATCTTGTTAATGCATCAATAAAGAAGATACACATTACTATATCATACATTTGTTTTTAACATTTTAGAACTATATTTCAATATAACTGGGCTTTCTCTGCAATTATATGCATTATGCTTTACACATTTAAACACATTTAAAAGGTCCACAGGCTTCAGAATGCCTAAGGGCTCCACGGCACAAAAAAAGTTAAGAATTTCTGTGCTAGACTCTCAATGAGACAGTTTTAAGATTAATAACCCACTGAGCACTCCCTTGTGCCATGTCACAACTCACTAGCTCCCCCAACTGAATAAAATGTTCACCAGAACCCAAGAAAGACAAGAGTTTTCAGCACTAAATAAGCCCATTGATACATACTGAATTGTTTAATCATCTGTGACCTTCTAAACTGCAAATTTATTGCACTGCCCATAAAGCATTGGGGCCACTTACCATCAGTAGAATGCACATGGGAGCTGCCAATCTGGTCTACGAGCAACATGAAAACGAAGCCCAGAACGAGGGAAACGCCAATGTAGGCATGCAGCTGTGTATGGTCATGGCTGTGCTCATGTTCATGGACAACTGGTATTTCTGCTTTGTCTGATGCAATAACATTCTGTGTCTCACTCGCTTCGTGGTGCTTACCTAGAGTAGAATGAACCATAAAGAGAAAAAGTTGTCCCCCTTGAAACATTTTCACATAGAAGCTTCCATTCCTCTGCATTTCAAGCCCTACTTACTTTACTGCAAAGACATCTACTTCCTGTATCGTAATCCAGCCAATCATAAACTCCTTTTGGCATGTAGACCTTTTAACTGCCCATTATTCTCAAAACCTAGGAAGTGGAAGCAAATCACCAAGCAAGAAAGCAGTCATATTCCCAAGTGATATCGTCCTCTTTCCTGGCTGAGAAATTCCTGCCAATATCATCAGAAACTACAGTGAGTTTTACTCTGATGAAAACAGGTGAATGAAGAGCAGTAATAACGAAAATAATTTTAACCAAGTGGATCTGGTTTCACACCTAGGTTGATCTAGAAATTGCAAATGAAGAGTAAACTGAGTATAAAAATTGTGTAAGTTTTATGAAAATATATTTATAAGATATAAATATTTTATAAAATATAAAATAATATATTCATTAAAAAATATCAGGAGGCAATCACTAACTAGAAACCAAAAGGGCAGAGCAGTTTACGAGGCACATCCTTCAGTCTAAATTCAGTTCTAGAAATACAACTGCTGAGATATTCCATATTACAGGAAGTGGCACTTGGACAGGTAATACTTCCTAGTTTATATTCACATATGACACTCAAAGCATAAATGCTTCAAGGCCAGAATCCTGATCTTTGCTGTGTTTCATGTTAACACATTAGACATTCTTCATTCATACTTGGATTAAGCATTTTTACCTTTAATCAAAGAAATTACTCGTAATTTTTAGATCCTTGTAATATTTTAGACTCTGCCTTCTTTTTTTTTTAAAGTTTATCTATTTGAAAGACAGTGAATGCATGAGTGCGCACATGAGTGACGGAGGGGCAGAGACACAGGGAGAGAGAGAGAATCCCAAGCAGGCTCGGCACTGTAAACGCAGAGCCTGATGTGGGGCTTGAACTCACAAACCATGAGATCATGATATGAGTCAAAGTTGGATGCTTAACCGACTGAGCCACCCATGCGTCCCTGCCTTAATTCTTTATTAAAAAAAAAAAAATTTTTTTTTTAGTGTTATTTATTTTTGAGACAGAGAGAGACACAACATGAACACGGGATGGGCAGAGAGACAGGGAGACACAGAATCTGAAGCAGGCTCCAGGCTCTGAGCTGTCAGCACAGAGCCCGACGCGGGGCTCAAACTCACAGACTGTGAGATCACGACCCAAGCTGAAGTTGGATGCCCAACTGACTGAGCCACCCATGCATATCCCTGCCTTAATTCTTTAAAAGATATTTTTGAGGGGCACAAAGCACATGCTATCTTAAGATTAAAAACAAAAACAAAAAAACCCACCTATATATCCATCTAATTCCTGAAAGATTTTTTTTTTTGGTTTTCATAGCTGTTTTCTTTTTATAACCTTTTAAAAAATGTGATAAAATATACGTAATGTAAAATTTACTTACCATTTTAACCGTTTTTTAACGTTTATTTTGAGAGCGTGAGTGTGGGGGTGGGGCAGAGAGACACAGAGGGAGAGAGAATCTCAAGCAGGCTCCTTGCTGTCTGCACAGAGCCCAAGGCAGGGCTCGACCCCTTGAACTGTGAGATCATGACTTGAGCCAAAATCCAGGGTAGGACACTTAACCGCTTGAGCCACCCAGGAGCCCCTTAACCATTTTTAAGCCATTTGCAGCATTAAGTACATTCACACTGCTCTGCAACCATCACGATCATCTATCTCCAGAAATTTTCATCATCCCATGGTAATTTTTTAAGCTGGAGATTTTTTTCTAACACTGATTTTGTCCACTTGTTTTAAATATTTTTTCCACGTTTTTATTTATTTTTGGGACAGAGAGAGACAGAGCATGAACGAGGGAGGGGCAGAGAGAGAGGGAGACACAGAATCGGAAACAGGCTCCAGGCTCCGAGCCATCAGCCCAGAGCCCGACGCGGGGCTCGAACTCACGGAGCGCGAGATCGTGACCTGGCTGAAGTCGGACGCTTAACCGACTGCGCCACCCAGGCGCCCCAAAAATAAATTTTATTTATATGAAAAACTAACTACAAAGTTTCACAAAACAGTGAAGCTTCAACTGGTTAACAACGCACTCTTCCATTTCTTTGTCTTTCCCTCTTTCTTTGTCCCTCCACCAGGTTTTTATTTTATTTTTAAATTTATTTCTTTTGAGAGAGAGAGAATGAGCAGGGGAGGGGCAGAAAGAGATGTGGGCAGAGGATCCAAAGTGGGCTCTGTGCTGACAGCAGTGAGCCTGATACGGGTCTCAAACTCACGAACCAAACCGTGAGATCATGACCCAAGCAGAAGTCAGATGTTTAACCCACTGAGTTACCCAGGTGCCCCCAGGCTCTTTTTAAATCCTGGTTACAAGTCCAACTCGCTGAATGTATTTGAAGACTCACTTAGTTGCTACTTTTAGTTTGAAAGCACTACTGGAGGTGGAGAGACTCAGGGGAGAAATGGATGATTTTGGAATAAGGAGCATTTTCTAGAAATCAGAAGCCTGGGCCTGCAGTGGTCAACTAAAGAGAGCTGAACGTCAAACAGGCCTAGGAGAAAAAGGTGGGCAGGCTGTGTAAGAACCACTCAGTTCCTTACACAAACAAACTTGTTAGCAGTAAGGGTTTTAAGCCAAAGAAGTGACTGAAAATTCAGAGAGGAAAAATAATTAAGTTTGAGAAGCAGTCTAAGACTCTTGAATTAGTAATGGTGGACAATTAAAATGTAGCCTCATGGTACCATGACTGTATTAAGTTTGTGAAAATCACTGAGCCATACACTGCCCATATGTGTATAACATACTTTTTTGTAAGCGATATTTCAATAAAAACAAAAAAATTCAAAATGCAGTACTCTGAGGCCAATACTGAGATGGTTGCCCTCATCATTTTTCAAGTAGGTCTTCTTTGCAAGCTGAGCGACTAGTTTTGCATGGCCTCGAGAATATGAACTAAATCATCTTAAAAAAAAAAAAGCTACGTAGCGACAATTTACAATACTATTTAGAAAGATGCTATTGGCGAGGATCTAAATGATTACACTTTCATAAGGTGCCCACTTAACACCTAACTGGGCTCTCCTCTCTGCCTCTGCCTGTACTCTGCACACATTAGTGAATCCAGGGGCTCTCCATTCTGCCTCTCTTGGATAATCCCTTGTCTTTGGAGACTCAGCTCATCATCTCCTCCTCCTTGAGATTTTATGTCCTCTTCTCTTCATTCATACATAGCACACTAGGCATCTCTCTACCACAGGTCCTACCTCACTATACCAGAATTCAGACATCAGCAAACTATAGTACAGGGCTGGTGCCTATTTTTGTAAATACAAATCGCACTGGAACATAGCCAGGCTCATCTGTTCACAGATTATCTGTGGCTGTTTTCATGCTATGACACCAGGGTTAAGTAACTGCAACAGAAATCATGTGGCCCACAAAGCCTGAAATATTTATTAGTTGGCCCTTTACAGAAAAAGTAAGCTAACCCTTGCTGTCATTGACTGTTATTCGTTTTCTATTGGCTGTGAATTCTTGAAGGCTGGGGCTAGATCTTAGATCTCTGAACTGCTAAAAATCAATAGAAGGCCAAAAATCTAGCAAATACTCAACAAACAAGTGCTGAAGGCAAAAAATGGCCTTCAATTCTATATTTTTTTAATGTGGCATTTCATTTCAAAAGTTATGGCAATTAGGGGAGCCTGGGTGGCTCAGTCGGTTGAGCATCCGGCTTCAGTTCAGGTCATGATCTCACAGTCTGTGAGTTCGAGCCCCGCATCAGGCTCTGTGCTCACAGCTCAGAGCCAGGAGCCTGCTTCGGATTGTGTCTCCCTCTCACTGACCCTCCCCCACTCATGCTCTGTCTCTCTCTGTCTCAGAAATAAATAAACATTAAAAAAAATAATAAAAAAAAACAAAAGTTATGGCAATTAATAACTTCTTAGATAAAAAGATTGAAAATTTTTTTTTAAGATTTATTCATTTTTTTTGAGAGACAAAGAAAGAGCACAAGCAGGGGAGGGGCAGAGAGGAAAACACAGAATCCGAAGCAGGCTCCAGGCTCCAGGCTCTGAGCTGTCAACACAGAGCCCGACCCGGGGTTTGAATTCATAGACCACAAGATCATGACCTGAGCCAAAGTCAGCCACTTAACCGACTAAACCACCCAGGCGCTCCTAGATAAAAATATTTTTTAGTGGAAATAAAATATAATCTTCTAGTCTGAAGATAATTATGCACATGTGTCTTTATAAATTCAGCTGTAATAGGTAAGAGATAAACACACTAAATTAGGTTACAGGTTATGCCAAGAGTTTGGGTATAGTCATACTATTATTTGTGAACAGTTGCATAATAATTTTTAAAGGTAATTACTTTTGGGGTGTCCATAGCCCTGAAACGTCAAGCCTAATTACAACGTTCAAAGGATAGCCAATATCATTTTATTTTATGAGGTATAACTATATCAGAATTTTAAAACTTAGAGGTGAGTATAAGACCCTTCATTATCTTATTCCAACAATGTTTTAAAAAAAATGAAATATAATTAACATACAATGTTATATTAACTTAGTGCTCACCATGGTAAGACAGTTACCATCTGTCAATGTCATTACAATATTATTGACTAAATTCCCTATGCCATACCCATACTTTTCATCCCTGTGACTTATTTTATGACTGGAAACTTGTACCTCTAAATCCCCTTTACCTATTTCACCCATCACCCCAGTCACTTTCCGGCTGGCAACTACTAGTTTGTTCTTTGCATTTAAGAGTCTGTTTGGGTTCTTTCGGGGGTTGGGCGGGGGTGGGGGCAGCACCTGGGTGGCTTAGTTGGTTGAGCATTTGACTCAGGTTCAGCTTAGGTCACGATCCCAGGGTCATGGGATTGAGTCCCACCATCAGGCTCTGTGCTGAGTGTGGAGTGTGCTTAAGATTCTCTCTCCCTCTTTCC